TGTGATCTTTGGTGTGCATGAATGTCACTTTCATGTTTCTGAACTTCTTGTCACATGCTATCCCAGTGATGCTGGGATATCCATGTTCTTTCATTGCCTCAGCAATTTCATCCCAAAGTTTCACCTTTCTGATTATTCCATCTTGGAATTGATATTTCCTTTTCTTGTAAAGATTCAACATGAGTTTGATGCTGTCATAGTTCCAGGAAAATCCTAAAAAAATGATCCAGAACCTGCTATGGGTTACCATTCTCAGAACAATCTCTAAGTGAGTGTGTGAACCCACCCGATGATGAAGAGGGTGTTGTTGCACTCCCTGCCCTATTCACTGGTGCTGGACAATCACCAGTGTTGTTCACTGGAACAAGATATTCACCAATATTGCTCATTGAGACCAGATGATCATCAATGTTGTTCACTGGGACTAGACCGCAAAAACATCCACCTTTATCAACCATAATCTTTCAGAACAGCTGCATTAGCTATGATACAAAGAAATCATTACCAAGTAATGGCAAAATGAGATCATACAGTATTACAAAGAGGGAGAAGTGTTGCTTAATCTTGCGGAAATGGCCTTTAAAACTTCTTGTCTGCTTAGTGGCAAAGTGTTTTTAATAGAATTGTCATTAGCATTTCAAGGAGCTATATTTTATTCATTGTAATTTGAATATTGTTTTGCATAGGAAGATGAAAAAAAATCCTGGAACACAAATGTATTAATGTTTTATCTTCCTGTCATGAATTTAAAGAAGGTTGACTAAAATAATTATAGTCAGTTACTGCATAATATGAACTTTGCATGCTGATATATTTTTGCATACAACGATCTCAAAATAGAATGGGAACTCTGGATTGGCTGTTGCTTGCTTGCTTGTTAAAATAAATCATCAGACTTCAGAGCCTTTTTTAATGTCAGAAAGTCTTCAAAATTGTACCAACTTTTGCGCCCACTATAAACATGACTATGTGGATTAATGAGGACTGCTCCTTCATCATCTCAGGTGGTTACAGAGGAATTTGGACAATATTAATCACTTTTACTATTACTATTAATCACTAGTAACACTTTTACATGGTTTCCTTAAAATGTTGCCAATTTGAAACTTAAACAACTATTTTTAAAATTAAATTTTTTGCATAATAAAAGATACTCTGAAAAAAAATTAATACAAGGACTAGAATGTAAATTACATTGAAGACAAAAATGTACTACATGTTTCAGGTTACAGCCAAGTTTTGCAAAGTGCAATTATATGCACTTCAGGACTTGGTAAGCACCTAATTACCTGCAAACTGGTATCTGAATTTACAGTGGTTCTCAATGGCTTTTGTAACAAAATCCTGTAATTTTTGTAAAAAAAAATAAGAGCAGCAAATTGTAATGCACTGGAGGCAAAATGCTCAGAATGCCTCTCAAAATAACCAGAATGCATTGCATCACGTTTCGTACTCCCTCCTTCCATCTCATTGTTGGAAGGGTCTCACAAAGAAAGACTTAAAAAAAGGAAATATCATATCATGGATGGCTGATTCCAATTACGCCAAATTTTTCTGGAGTCAGCAATCTAATAGCTATTTCTGTACCAAGTTTCAGCCTCTCAACATGAACAGGAACATGGTTAGAATTAGCGTCAGTCAGTCACGATCGTCTATATATATTAGGTGAGTTGGTAAATTTGAAATGTTATATTTGTATATCCCTCATGCATTAAATCAGATTGTTCTGTGGAGCAGAACGAACTAGTAGAGTTGCAGTGATGAGAGGCTATTACATCATATTTGGGGAAATAAGTCACTGCGAATTTTCGTCAAAAAGCTTATCAGGGGAAAGTGAACATGGTTACGAATGCTGATGATAAGAAATATACGGCAACTAGTAATTTAACGGTAATGGAGTGAATATAAATGTTTCTTGAGAGGCCTCTTGCTGCCTCGAGCGATACAAGTGCCTCCGCCTTCTTGGCACTAGAGTCGAAAAAGGAAGAAAAAAGAAAACCATGAAAGCATACACTCATTTATTAAATGCTTCGAGGGGGTTTTTCCAGACGCAGAGGCATGCATTTTTCATCCTGAAAGAGAGGAACTGTGAATTTTCTCTTGTGAAGGGTTCGTTGGTTTCTGTGATTTCGCAGTTCCAACTGCCTCCATGTCTCTCTTTCATATTACTGGTTATGAAATGACGAATGCCGTCCTTTTCCATACTTGAATTTGCACACAGCCCGGCGAGGGTCAAAGCGTCCTGGATCATCATGGACCCATCCATTTTCGATTGGAGAAGGTCTGCACCGACTTCCTGCGCCTGAAAAATATTAGATCGAATAGAGCCCCGTCAAAGCAAATTTGGCAGGCATTGGATGATAGCTCGATGTCAGGACAATGTTGTTTTTCATTACCTTTTTATTGTCGATTTGCCAGATAAGCTGAGGCCAACTTTGATAAAGCATTTAGTAGTGAAATTGGTCGCCAATTAGTTAAGAACTCTCTTGATTTATTTCCTTTCGTGATGGAGATAATCATACCCAATCTTTGATTAGCGGAAAACTGAATTTCTTTGTAACCGTTATTTAAGGTTCTAACTAGAAATTAGTCCAATATCATTCCGGTCGGTTTTACAAAATTCTACCGTTAAGCCGTCTGAGCCTGGGGATTTTTCTCTTCTAAAATTTTTTAGACCTTGAACTATCTACTCTGCATATTTGTTCACCTTCTGCCATTTTCTATTCCTCCGACAACCTTGGCCATTCTACAAGTCTATCTCATGATTCGGATTCAATTGCAATCGGGGACTCTCAAAGAATTGTGAATGGAACGTTCTCTGTTCCGTTAGAATATATGCTTGACTTATGATAATCACGTTTTCTGTCTGCAATTTCAATATGAGTTTCCTCTCGTTTTTTTCGTTTCGCAAAAGTACTTGGAAGGCTCCTCTCCCTTTTTAAAACCATCTTAACCTTGACCTTAACATCTCTCATGCGATTATTCATTCGCGAATTTCTTTTAGCCGCGCCTTTGCCTCCTACAGAAGGCTATGTGTCATTATCAGGTTCTTCATCTACTCTATTTTTGCAACGGTCTATCTTAGGGGTAAGCGCATGTTCCTCCAGATTCGTTTACTTTTTCCACTGAATGCTATGACCGAAAGTCGCCGATTGAATTTGCATGAGAAGAACTTGATAGAAAGTGCATAGTTAATTGAAAACTGAATTCTATTCGCATCTGAATTTTCTTTACAGTACGGAAGACGGGAGGGCATAGTTTTTGGGCTGTGCCGTTTCTCTCTTGGGACATTTTTATGTATTTAATGTTTCACTGGATCTCCTGCTGTTGTTGCTCCATTCCTCTCTCTACTTCTGAGGCTATAGTTTTTCATTGCTGCCGTCCTTCTCTCTTGCGGCTCAGCTTCATTTCCACCGAAATATTGTCATGATTGGAGTCGCATCTGCTAAATTTCATGCAATCCACAAGAGGGGCATCGTGCGACCTGTCATGAACAGGTCAGTTTAGGTGGCTGAGGACCGTCGACGAGGAAGAAGACGAGGATCGGGACGACGACGACGAGGTTGATGTATTATTAGCTTCTTCTTCACACTATTCTTGTCGTGCTGCTGCTGCTGCTGCCTTCCTGATGATGTTACTCTCAGCGACAGGACATCATCATCACCAACTTCTCTAATTGCTTTTTTTGGGCCACTTCTCATCAGTCGCCTTGGACGCGTGATAAGACAGAGGACGAGTCAGAATATGAATTACAAGAAGCGAAAAAGTTCGCAGAGAAAGAAGAAGGAACGCTGACTTCGACTTCAACATCATCACTTCATCTCCCTAGCATTAACTACGACCTAGGTGATGACACAACACCGGAATCTGGACCGAAATCTGCGAGACCTTCTCCCTTTTTCCTCTGTATCTTTGACAGGATTTGGAGAAAATCCTCAACTCGAAATGGTCCGGAGCCAGCGAAGAGAGATATGCACAATGACATTAGTTTCGGGTTGATGGCGATTTTACCGGAATGTCTCAGGTCCACCCCGCTTAGCTGTCAGTCTTCGACTGGGCGAGATATCGTGTGCTATTAAGGTGCTAGCGCCGATGGCTCGAGAATTGCCATACCCCTTAACCCAGGAGTTTGACCTCATTATTAGGTGTGAACTTCGAAAACGGAGGCTTTAAATGTATTTGATCATGGGGCGCCAAAAGCGTGTCCATAGCGAGTTTGTTTGCTCGAAGAACAAACAAACTCATTACCTGTAATATCCCCATATCTTGTCTCAGTGTTACATTTTCAGGTATATTTTTGCTTCAAATTTATTCTAAACTGCTTCAATAATATTTTTAAGTTAAGAAAGATGCGACCAAAATCGAATCTTGCTGTGTCAAGTTTTTTTTTTATTACCCAAAACTGAAAACCTGAGCGTTCATAGGCCAACTATGGGAGGGGGGAGAGAGAGAGGGAAAGAGAGATTAGGATGAGCAATCAAAATTGACTCATGTCAATATCGTAGGAACTTCTATTGGCATCCTGGCTTAAGCGTTATGATGTAATTTATTTCAAACTTCAATTCGTTATTTTGCTTTTATCTAGATGCGATGCCTAGTTGTTTTTCAAGCTGAATCCCAGCCTGTCAGCATCATACTTGCATTATCTTCTCACGGTCTTACATGGTCACCTCTCCCGGTATTATCGTCACAGTATGAAACCCTTGGTAACAGTTGGCCACCGCCTGTAATCACACTACCGCCATGCGCTATACCAGCAATCATTTATATATATGAAATACTTCGTCAACAATGCCACCCATCTCCATCCAAGGCGACGCAGAGAGCCCGGGGGAAATGGAAACCTTTTTGGAAGTCACCGGCGTGTATTTAATCCGAACTCAAAGATCAGGATCCGTTATTTGTTGGTACACTTGCGCCTTGACTATGCCCTCTGCTTGAGGGACCTGGGCATTCGATACAAATATGACACGTGCGGAAATACACATTTTCACGGGATGTTCGTAACTAAAGGATCCCCCCCGGCTCCTCGCCAATATCCCGATATACCGCGGTATTGAGCCACACTCTTAGAAAATTCCGAGCGTTTGGTGAGTAAAAAGTGAGCACACCATGAGTTTCTCGAATTTACTCTCTTATTACTCATTAAATGCTCCCTTATCGCTCGTATTGAAGTGAATACGTTCAAGTTCTTCGCCAGGCCACTAGATGGAGGTAAGGGTCTCGCTTTTCGCACAATGCACAAAAGTTCCCTTCCCTCTTATGGCGTCTCCCCGACCCTCTTTCCCCTCTGGGCTCACTCTGACTGAAAGCATTTCTTAAAACTCAATTTACTTCCATCCGGTCTATTATCTAATTGAGGGGAACGAACTTCCCCACCCCCCCTTTTATCAGCAGACGAGATCAAGATTACGCAGAGAGTGTCCGTGAACTTCATTCAATCATACCCCAATTAGATCAGCTAAGGGACTAATATCACGGACACTCCACACAGCCTATAATAGGTGGTCCACTCTCTGACGTGTGCTGTAATCAGTACAGTCAGAGGTACTGTATGTCAACGCCTGTACGAGAGCGAAAGCGTCACACAGCTTACTGTATATGAGAATTTTCGTATTTGCATGACATCCCAATCACTTTCTGATGTGAGCGTTTTTACTCACGGAGGAGGAGAGCAATTTTACTCCTTGGTAATGGAGTAAATTCGTTACCTTCCCAGAGTGAAAGGGGGGGTGAAACTGGAGTTAGCTATTTTTCTCTCTTTTTTGAGAGGAATCGTTCCCTTTTTCTAAAAGTGCAGCATACCTTCCGAGAAATGCATCGCAGACCGTAACGCACTTGCATATAGATGCTATTTCTCGTCCGTATCTGGTGCTGGCTTTTGAGGAGCACGAATTAATTCCTTGTTTATTGGTTTCCTTTTCATTTTTTAAAGAGCTTTCGGATGGGCTTCTTGGCTTACTTGGCTGAATTGAATGACCCAACTCACGAAAGGAGAAGTCGAAATCCAACACGCTATGAATTTTTTATGCATGTTAAATTTGAGGAAGAACCAAATAAACTTCTGGAATAGTCTGGCATAGAAATGTGTAAAGCTTTTGTATCATATACTTCTCGATGGCATTCAGAAGGAACGAAATGTTCAACCAAAAGAGGTCATGAAGATGACACAAGGTCATCAATGTAGGCTCAGGAGATAGAGCATCAAGAAATCCTTTAGAAAGACACAAAAGAAGATTTCGCCAAACATGAAAATTTCTTCTGACGGCCATTCAGGCGTTTCCCGTCAGGTTCCATTCGCCAGCTGAGGTTCATGGTCATCCAAACTTTCATGTGCTCATGACCTTGCTTTCTGTAAATGATTGCGTTAAAAAAGTATGCATCCAATGCACATACACGCGCGCATAATGAATACGACTATCATGATGTATTTATTTCTCTTATTCCTGGAGAGGGAGAGTAAGCCCACAAAGAAAGAGAAAAGTCAAATGGGAAGCATGTTTTTAAACTCAAAACTAATCCTGATGACTGCTTTATGGTTTGCACTTCACAGCCTATGGTGTAAAGTATGATACAACCAAGGATGCCAAGTGAGAGGGCTATACATAGCCAATGCCCAAATATACACCAAATGTGGGCTACATATTGGTCTGTTCCCCATCATTCGTCTTCGACTGGCAGGCACAACCAGAAACTTTTGGCATCACAATTCTCGCTTTAACTTTAACATCGTACTGTGTAAATCCGATGTCGGCTTACGAAGCTCAATGAAATACTGTACCTTATTGATGATTTCAATGATGTCATCTCTCTTCATCTCTCTCAGCAAATCTAAAACGATGGAAGTGTTCATATGCGAGTCTCCCGTATCTCCTGACAATATTATCTTGAAAATGTAGTTCATCGTCTCCCATTTGATCAGGTTAGCTTCATCTCTCGTAATGAGGTTTTTCTGTTCTAGGAGTTTCTGCAAAAGTTCCACATCGACCAATCTCTTTCCATCCATGAAGGTTATCAATAGGTTTTGTATGTCCCTTTTATCCATGATAGTGGTGATAGTGGTCTTCAAGTAATATAACCTGGAAAAGGAAGTCCATGACAGTAGATACTGGCGGCTGGGATTGCATCATTACCAAGTATTAGCTATGGGGAGAGATTTTATTTTCTCTATTTTCTATGAGCTCTTGCAGAACTCTCTCCGCAGAGATGCTGGTCTTCATGCAGGATTCTACATATACAAGGTATTCGCATTAAAACGCAAGATTATTTTAAGAATATTTTGAAGCCTGTAGGTGGATGACGGCGAACGCTCTGAGGCCTACCAGGTTGCCTATCGCCCTGGAAACACACCAGGGAAAGTTCCATTCTTCCAGATGTGCAACCCGATTAGCCGCTCGAGATAAATTATCTTTCCCTTGCTTTCGGACAAACGTTAGCGTTAATAGCCCACTATTTAAGGCCCTCCACACGACACGAGAAGACATGGCAAATTTTGCCTACCTCAATTTACATCGCACTAAGTGACTCGGGCTTTGATACCTCTTTCGTATCTCTTTCGAGAATGCCAGCATGTTCACCAGCCTACGAGGATGTCTGACTTTACGACAGCATGGGCGATGAAACAAGGGCCGATGCTGATGCAAGGCACGTAATTCCGTTGCAGGGCAGAATACATTGCGCTGTTCAAATACTAAACTCGAGTTATGATCTACTTAAGGAAGGTACAATCTCAGAAGGACCCTTTC